ATATATATATATATATATATCATGTTTTTCAGATGTTTGTTCATCAGAAATTTTGCTTTTTGCAAAGCGTGTAGCTTAAAAAGATATCTGAATGTAAGGCGTAAGGCATGTTAATCCGAACACAAAGTGCTGTTGCTGGAGATTTGTAGTGCGGGAAAATAACTTCCCCTTTAAAAGAATTCACACAGTAGTGATGGCCACCAGCACAGAGGGCTTTAAATGAGGGCAGATTCACAGAGGATGGCTCCATCAACAGCTACTAGTCATGGTGATTAAAGGGGATCTCCAAATACAGAGGCAGTCAACGTCTGAATCAGGGAAGGCGTCATGGCAAAGCCCGATCTCATCATATCTTGGAAATTGAGCTGGGCCAGTACTTGGATGGAAGACCACCAAAGAAGACTCTGCGGAGGAAGGCCATGGGAAACCACCTCTGCTTAATCACTTCACTTGAGAGCCCCTTGCTGGGGTCACCATAAGTTCGCATGTATAAGTCAGTAAACTTCTGAATACCAGGGCTAGGGGGCAACATAAATGGGCATATCTTTTTACAAATGGGGACTCACAAGGGGTTGCAGGAGTTATATAATTTCCCCCTCCCCCCTCCTCTTTTCATACCCTGAAAGCCCCTGAAGTCTCTCCCCTCTGGTCTCTGTGTTCTGACTGTTGTCCCTCCAAAGCAGATGGTTGGCCACTGTGTGAAAGAGAATGCTGGACTAGATGGGTAACTGGTCTGATCCAGCAGGTCTTCTTATGCTCTTTGTATGATTTGCATCCTTCACCAAATCTCTGCTGAAAGAATGGATTTCTTGTTGGACTAGGATTTTCTGGCTTCCCCTTTCCTTTTTTTTTTTTTTTTTAAATATTTTTATTTGGCTTCCCCTTTCCTTCTGCAGCTCAAAATACTCCACCATCCTGCTTCTGGATAAAAGGAAAATTCCAAGATCAGCATGACAGGGGAGTCAGAGGTCTACTGTGGGAGGGAAGAATCAGGAAAATTACCTCCCTTTCCGTCAGTGGGAATTCCTGATGGATCTAACCTTATATTCTCCTGGATCTTCCTTGTACAGATCAGCTTGACTGACAATCCAGCTGTCACAGGCATTGTAATACTACTGGCTATTCAAAAGGCTACTGGGGAAAATTTGTGTGTTTTGCTCTGAGCTTCTTGAGGACAAGCTACAAATGTAATCGATAATTTGGAAACCTTTGACATGAGCAAGATGATGGAGCGGTTAGAGTGTCAGGATAGAACCTGGGAGCTTTGGATTCTAATCTAAAGTAAAGGTAAAGGTTTCCCTTGCTCGAAAGCCAGTCGAATCCAACTATAGGGAATGGTGCTCATCTCTGTTTCCAAGCTGAAGAGCCAGCGCTGTCCAAAGACTTCTCCGTGGTCATTTTGTGGCCAGCATGACTAAACAACGAGGCACACAGAATGCTGTTACCTTCCCATCGAAGCGGTACCTATTTATCTACTTGCAATTTCTTGCTTTTGAACGGCTAGTTTGGCAGGAGCTGGGGCCAGAGATGGGAGCTCACTCCATCACGCAGCACTAGGGTCTTGAACTGCCGAACTACCGACCTTCTGGTCTGCAGCTCAGTGTCTTAACCTCTGAGACACTATGCTATAAATCTCACTGGGTGATCTTGGGTCAGTCACTTTCACGCAGCCTAACCTCTACTACACAGGGTTGTTGTGAGGATAAGTGGATCAGGAGACAACTGTGTACACTGCCCCCAAACTCCTTGAACCCTTCTGAGTCCATTGAATTCAACAAGCTTAGAAAGGCACAACTTTTTAAAAGTGCATAGTAAATTCCTTATTTTTATTTGGGTAGTGATTGCCAGTTTCATAATTATCCTCCTGTAATGTAGGAACGCCAACATCTGATAGGCTGGCACTTGGTCTCCTGTGGCCTATTTAGATGGAAAGCAGTGTCATAATGGAGATGACTCCAATGAGGCAGTGTGTTTAGGAAATGGTCTGTTGTTCGGATTAAAGAATCCTGTGGATTTTTCAAAGAAGTTCCATGACATTGTTCGCTGGAATGGGCATCTTCCTTGGGAAAAAATATTGTGGTCTTGGGGTTCCACTGTAATCCCTACATGGATTCCTTTGCTCCCACATCTCAGATGAAGCCATGGGGGGGGGGGGAAACCATACAGGCTAGACTAGTCTTCATTAGTGGGTGATCTGCATATCTTAACCTCAATCTCTTTAAGTATGGGTTGACCATGAGTCTTTGAGGGCAACCTCTGATGGAAATCTTATCATAAGAACATAAGAACATAAGAGACGCCAATGTTGGATCAGGCCAAAGGCCCATCCAGTCCCACACTCTGTGTCACACAGTGGCCAGAAATACCAGTGCCATCAGGAGGTCCAGCAGTGGGGCCAGGACATTAGAAGCCCTCCCACTGTTGACCCCCCCCCAAGCACCAAGAAGACAGAGCATCACTTGCCCCAGAGCCCCTAGCTATACCTTGTGGCTAATAGCCACTGATGGACCTCTGCTCCATATGCTTATCTAATTCCCTTTTGAAGCCATCCATGCTTGTAGCACCCACCACTTCCTGTGGCAGCTCACCCCTGGCTCCAAATTTATCAAGCATATTTTACAAGTGGGAACTCGCAAAGACTTGTGGGAGTTATA